AAAAAAATTAAATTAAATTAAAGTATAATAAATTAAATAAATACATAAAAAATAAAGAAAAATGTAAATAAATTAATATATATCTATGACTTGTTTATGATACAATTTCGCGTAAATTGGAAGTCATGGGACTTCACAAAAAAATTTTTTTAAACTGTTCGGTGACTTTTGGCCACCCACTGTATTTATAATGCAAACTATTATTATTCTTGTTACACTTAATGTAATTTAGATTAGTTCTAGTACTGGATGGTTAATACTCTTTCAGAGCTGAGATAAGAACTTGTAACTTGGATAGACTGATTAAGTTTGTGGCTTGTGAGTTTGTTAAGATTGTAGTATTGCAAAGTAGATTTAGAATAATTGTGGCTGGTATTGCTAATTGAATTTTGAACATGCTGCCTGGATCTATAAAACTATAATGGCAGTTTATTTGATTGTGATTTTGTTAATTGGGTTTTGATATTGTTGCTTGAACCTGTAAAACCATATAGCAACTGATTAAGGACTAAGTAAGACATGTAAAAAGCTCAAAATTTTTATATAAATATGATGTTGAGATTTATGTGTTAATTAGAAAATTATTGGAGTTGTTGTATTGGTTAGAAAAATCATTGAAGTTGTTATATTAACTAGAAGAATTATTGGAGTTGTTATATTATTTGGAGAAGTTATTGGGGTATTTTGATAAGGAGTTGTTGTAGTTGTTGTTGTAAACAGGTTTAAGTTGGTATTATTGTTATTATGTTGAGTTATTAATATGTAATTGGTTATTGAGTATGTATATATCATTTGGAGGAGTAAAGCTGTTTTTTGTTTTTGGAATTTATTAAATTTTATAGAAAATAGGTTGGCATAGTATTGTATATTGCATAGAGAGTAATTGAGAAGATTTAGTTAAAATATGCAAGAGATCCAATAACTTTGCTTGAGTTTATCTTTAGAAATATATTTGTAATATTAAGAAATAATATGGAGATATTAATAGTAATATTTGAATAAAAAAAGGTGTATAAAAACAAAGTTATAAAGAAGAACTGCCACAGATCTTTTTTCATGCAAATAAGGAACAAACAAGACTTCTAAACTTGCTTGTTTTCTATTCAGAAGTTTCATCCCAATGCAACAGTGGTTTTTAATATTTTTATATTCTTGAGCTTATGGCATATATAATATATAGAGAGAGTAAGAAGCACTTTTTAAAAGAAAATTACTATAAAGAGAATTTTTTAAGAATCAGTAGTGAATGAATAAGAGTTTTTTTTTTCAATATTTTTGTTTATTTTATTATTTAAATATATAATAATAATAATAATAATAATAATTATTATTATTATGAATAAACATTAAATATGAGACTTTATTGAATCATAAAAAATTTTTGTCATTATATTAAATATTCATTTAAGTTGATATTAGCCTATCACATGTATAATTACTAGTTCTTAAAAAATATTACATGAGTGAAAAAAATTTGTAGTAATTTATAAAGCTAATGCTTATCCATAAACAGCTAAGTTAAAATAGTTATTAGTAATAATTTTATTAATTTGGATTTTGGTTATACTATCTGAACCTGTGAAATTATAATAGTAGCTTTTAGAAATAATATGTTGTTGATTGAATTTTGGTTTTATTGCTTGAACCTGTAAAACCATAAAGCAATTGTTTAAGGGATAAGTAAGACATATAAAAAGCCAGTATTTTTATATAACTGTAATATTGGAGTTGTTGTTGTACTGATTAGAAAAGCCATTGAAATATTATAGTGTGAGATTGTTGTTATTGTTGTTATAAACAGATTTGAGCCAGTTTGATTGTTATTATGTTGAATTGCTAATATTTGATTGGTTGTTAAGTATATATTGATTATTTGAAGAGGTAGAACTGATTTTGATTTTTGAGAATAATTGAGTTTTTGTAAAAAGTGAGTTGACACAGCATTGTATGTCAAATGATAGATAGTTGAAAAGATTTGGTTAAAACAAGCATTAGATTCAGTAACTTTGCTTAAATATGACTTTAGGATTGAATTTGCAATAGTAAAGAATGATAAGAAAATAGTAATAATTATATAAAGATAATAAGAGATACATAAAGATAAAGTTATAAAAAAGGATTGTCATAGGTTTTTTTCCATATAAACAAAAGCAAACAAGACTTCCAAAATTATTTGACCCTTGCCTAGAGATCTTATCCCAATATAACAGTGGTTCTTAAAGTCCTTATATTCTTAAATTTATAATATAGATAATATATTGAGAGAGTAAAAAGTATTTCTTCAAAAAAAATTACTATAAAAGAAAATTTTTAAAGAATTAGTAGTGAATAGATGAGAGTTTTTTTTTAAATAATATATAATGATTATTTTATATAAATATATAGTATTATATATAATATTTATATAAAAGTTTAAATGTATTGTAATAGTTTAAACAAATAAGTTTGTATTTAGTTAAAAAGAAAATTATAAGAAAAAACAAATATTTTAAAAGAAATAATTATTTTATTAACTTAAAAATAAAAATTTGAATTTGAATTTTTATAATATAAAAAGATCTATTTAAATAACTATTTTTTATTATATAAATGTTTTATAAAATTATATCTTATTAATGTATTATAAAAAATTCATATATTATATATTGTATACAATATAAAATAAGAAAAAAAATAATATATTTTTTTATTTTTTAAATAAGTATAAATGTAATAAATATAATTAATAATAATAAATAAATAAAATAAGCTAAAAAGTTTCATAATGTCCTGAAAGATTCTGGAAGATTTCAAGATGTTTAAGTATTTTAAAAGATTTCAGAAAGTTTTATAATATTTCAGGATATTTCAGGATATTCTTTGAATTTTAATTATACAATATAGTGTAACAAAAGCAGAAAAATTATTACAACTTAATTGTTTTTATTTTATTTATTAAATTAAAAAAGTTAATAAAAGTGAAATTAATTTAATATTTGATTATTGTAATAATAAAAATATATTGAAGAATATATTTTATTTTTAATAATAATAATTTATAATTTTATAATTATAAAAATGATTTATCTATATTTAAAAGTTTTTGATAAATGAATTTTATAATGAATTGAAATATATTAGATTCGAGGGTTATATTCTTTGATACTTAAATAGTTAGATAGGTTAAACTTTTTTTTATGTTAAATTTTCATCATCAAAATTTGAAAATGTTCAATAATATCATCGCACAAAGAATATTTTTTTAGAAACCTTTTCAATTAATGTTATATTGTATTTATTTTATTAAACCGGTTTAAAGATAATGAATACATGCAGTATCTCGGTTGGGTAATGTATTAGTAACAGGCTTAATGAAAGTAATATAGTAAAGTGTACTTCCTTGTATAAACACTTTTTTGGAAAAAAGGGGTTTAATACATATAAACTAGTTTGATTCCTGAAAATTGTACACAAAAATAAAAAAAACGAAAGGTTTTACCGTAATAGAACTTATTCAAACAGTAGGGTAATTGAAAAGTGCAAAAAACCTTTTACTGTATATTTACATGTTGATCACCATTTCGTTGTGAATACCTGGCCACTGTCGTGTCATCAAGAACCGCGTAGAACAAAAGTTTAGTCGCCTGATCACATTTTAATCAGTGGATAACAAACGAAGACGTTAAATTTCAATATTTCAAACTTTTCTTTAAATTTTAATTTGACAATTATATGAAATTTGTAATAAAATAAACTCATTTATTTTTAAACTTATGAAGGAAGAACCTTTCCGCAAAGGATTTTGATTTATGGTATTAAATGAAGTATGCTGTCATTTATACTACTGTCTGTATAAAATATACGATAAAGCCAAAGTTTTCGTGTAATGTACACTTGGTCAAAACTTTATAAATGTAATGTTGTATTATATTTCGAAGTCAAATAGACTCGACTAAGGTTGTTTAGTTTTTCTGCTTCGGATTAACATTGATATCTTTAATGGTAATTGTACTATCGACCTTTAATAATATCGATTTATAATCTGAACTTTATAGTTCGGGTCGAGAAAATAGCACATTGCGAAGAGATTTCAAAATCTGTTATATTTTAACGGAATTTGTCCATGGCTGAAAATTTAAAATGTAATGAGCTGTATATCATATTTGAGAAACTCGTCCTTTTGACTATAGCCGTCAGATATAATAATCACCTTCCGCCATTTTTCACAATGTCGTCGTTTATCAACGAATCAAAATGTTTTTAACAATTGGACTTATTCTCGATTTAAGGCAGAGCTTCATTGATTAAACAGAAAGTTGAAAGTTCCATATCATTCCTTTAAAAGATACGCATACGTAGAATCAAAATACGTACACCCATAAAGTTCTATAACGTTATTATGGAACTATTTTTTAAAACGACAATTCCGAAAGAAAACTAGATTCCAAGCTTTAATTGTTTTATTAATAAATACGTCTAACCCAGTGTACTTTATGTTTTACATTTTGTTTTCACAAAATTTTACGTTAAAAAATTAAGTTATTTTAGTAAATTCTGTAAAATGATTAAGCGAGAATTATGGCATTTCCGGCTACATAATCGCGAGTAGAAAAACTTTCCTTTTAACTTCGTAATCGTCTTCTTTAGGAATTATACAATATATACGATAAAAGAAACTTTCCGAAAGACGACCTTACTTTATTTCATTTAATTCTCTTTCACGTGCAAAAAGGGTTATATATAACTATGACAGAGCTCAGGTTCTCTCATACGGTGCATCTTGGTTCAACTTTTAAAACTCCATATAATGGTTACAATAAACAGAAATTGTCTAAACACCGTAGTTTGTGTTTATGATGAAACTCTAAAACTAATAAAATACATTACATACAGTATTTTAACATCGCTAGCATTACTTTGGACCATGACACACTACGCAAAAAAGATCCTAAACTCTGTTATAATTATACATAACCCAACTTGCGCGTGATTAATAATAGATGAGATAAAGTAAAATAATTTTACACTGCCAAAGACGTTAGTTTTTTCTTAAATTCTGAATCCGTAAACTCTTCAAGCCTCTTTATAGCTTCTTTATATATGGAAACCTAATTTAAGACGGTCGTGACTTGTCTTCTTAATTTTATTAAGCATGACATTGATGTGAAGATTTTCCCTATTATTAATTGTTAATGAGAATACTATTCCTCTGCTTTTTTCTTGACTGATCGGCTACTAAATCAAATGGTCTTCTCTTATTATTCTTAAATTGAGATGCATCAATTTTATCCATAAATGCCCTTAAATGCTGTTTAAACTCATATGTAGCAAGTTTTCCGTCACTAGATATCATTAAGTGGACATTTAGATTACTTAGGACTTCAAACCACACGAATAATTCGTCATCTTGTTCGTCTGATTCGAGAATTTTGTGATCTGACTTCGAAGTGGTATAATTGCAATCGATAGGTAACGTAATGTTTACGCTTGATTCTTCATGTTGGCCCTCAGCATTTTGATCATTGGTCTCTTGGTTATTCGAATCTTCTACGTTGAGATAATAAGTCGTAGTCGATTCCATCTTAAATAATTTCGGCAAAAAGCCTTTGAACAAAGGACCAAGGACTTCTTCATGAGTTGCGTGGGATAGATATTGCATGTGATTATATTTGAAAGGCACACCGCTATTGCAGAAAATCTTCCAAATATTAATTGTAGCTTATATGAGCATTTTGTCCATCCGTTCGGTGGTAATTCAGAATTTAGATCTTGTATGAGTTGTTCATTAATACTAACACGCGTTTTAAGGATATCATCAAAACAAGCTTTCGTTGTATCAGCGTTCGCTCCAAAGGTTTTTAAAATCCAACTATAAAATTTAGG